GCCGCGCGACGTCGCACGGGCGTGTGAGCCGCGCGGCGGGGCCCGGACCCTTGCGGTCGGTGGGCGTCCCGAGACGCCGGGCCCTCGTTGCCCCGCCACCCTGCGCCCCGCGCACCCCGCGCTCGCTGCTGTTCGCCCTCAGCCCGGGTGCAGAGGCGCTCTTTGCCTCCCTCCTGTTTCCTCCGGCGCTGTGCTGGACGACCGAATCCGAGGAGCAGATATTAAATGTAAAATCAGTTCGCTCTGTAACGTGTTAGAAGGTGGTGGCACCGTCAGAAGGGGGGCGAGATCGAGGGCATGGCGAGGCTGCAGCACGGGTGGGGGTGGGTCTTCGAACTGCGGTGGGTCAGTGCGAGCCTAACTGAATACGTGCTGTTTGAGCAGAGATGGAGAGTGTTAAGGGCATTGGCGAAGCCTGGTGCCGGGAAGCGCATTCCAGACTGAAGGAAAGGGACTTGCGAGGGGCCGGCCGGTACTGAGAGTTGAGAGTCCTCGGCGGTGGTACTTATTTAAAGCCACCAGAATGAGTGTTGCCACCAGGGAGTGAGCGTCGACGAACACAGACGGTCAGAATCTGTAACTCAGGACGTTAAGCCGATGTTCAGGGGAAGAGGATCAGCCAGCGAGCAGCAGCACGAAACCTCCAGAGCGAAGTGTCCCTGAAGCTAGCCAAGGCCCTCCCGCAGAGAGGTTGATCAGGCTTGTCCAGTGCTGGGGGATGGGGACCGAGCGGGCCTTAGGTTAGGGCTGCCCCGGGGCTGATCTTCACCATTCCCTCCCTGAAGGCTGGAGGCAGAAGCCCACTGGATGTGAGTTTAGGAAAAGCAAAAACAAGGAGTGGAAGTCAGTGAATACAGGTAGCTCAAAGGAGGGAGGAATGGAGCGGACCTCCTAGAGGAAATAGGTTATTCACTCCAAAATGGGAGAGGTGACCACTGGTTTATTTGCTGATGAAGATGAACATGGAGAAGGAAAATTCGGTGGTAACGATGAGAAGGAGCAAATGAACTGTTAGGACAGCTGAGGGACGTGGTAGTTCACACCTGGATTCCCAGCACTAGGGAGGCTGAGACAGGACAGTTTGAGGCCAGCCTGGGCCACAGAAGGAGACTGTCTCAAAAAAGAAAAGAATACGGGCACTCACAACAATTTAGCCTCTGGGCCTGAGGGTAGGATCACAAGTTTTGAGCCCAGCTTGGACAAGTTAGTGAGATCCTATCTCAAAATAAGAAAGGGTTGGGGACTGTAACTCAGTGCAGAGCTGAGGAAAAAGCTCTGTGGTCTAAGGGCCTGCCTGGCAAGCACAAGGACCCGGGTTCCATACGTGGTTCCGCGTGCTGTGCTGGCCCTACAACCCTACGTGTGCAGTGTGCTGGCCACCAAAATCAGGCATGGTGGTGCACGCCTGTAATCCCAGCTCTGGGGAGGCTGAGACGGGAGGACCATTAGGAGTCGGAGCTGCATAGCAAAACCCTGTACCTAATGAATTTTTAAAGACCTGTGGATTCAGCTCCTGACGCCTGAGCTGGGGTCAGGATATAGTATCCTCAAGTGTACTGAAGGTAGAAGGAATGGATTTCAGTGAAGGTATGTGCAACCAAAATCATAGACAGAATTAAGTTTGTGAAGCAGGGTGCTTAGGTAGTTCAGCTGTAGTAACCAGATGGGCAGGTATAAGGGTGTAGGTACAGTATAGGGTGGTAGTTATATATGGTCATTAGTCTGTTACTGTAGCTTCCTCAGTAAAGGAGAAAACTGTCTCCCACTCGGATATATTCCTAATGTTTGATGTTAATGCTTTGTCATACCACCCAATTTTTTATTTTATTTTATTTTTTGAACCAAGGATTGAATTCAGGCCCTTGTGTTTGCCAGGGAAGTGCTCATTCCACTGAGCCATCTCCCTGGCCCCTCAAATTTTTTATTTACTCAACAAAGACTTCTTGAATACATACCAAATATGTTGTTTTAGGTGGTAAATATATAACTGAACAGAAATACCTACTTTCCCAGATGCCCCATTCTAGTAGATGGAGACAGAAATATAATATATATATATATATATATATATATATATATATATATATATTCATATCAGTTTCACTTACTGGTATGAATGAAAATAAAATAACGACATAGAAAGGTTATTCTTACAGGTTGATCACAGGCGTCTCTGCTGAGGTGAAATTTGAGCAGAGACCTAAATCCGGAAGGACTGGACGATGGGGGTGCCTGGGAAGAACATACACCAGAAAGGGCAGCAGTGCAGAGACCCTGAAGCAAAAGCCCGCTTAGGATGTGCAAGAGCAGCAGGGCCCTGTGGGGAGAGCAGAGGAAGAGGGAGAGAGGAAAGAAGGTGCAGCGGGAGCAGAGAGGTGGGGCGGATCCTGAAGCCTTACAGATGGCCAGGGTCTTTCTTGGGTTGGGGTTTTTGGTTTTGTTTTTATTTTTCCTCTAAGACAGGAAGCTGTTGTTGCTAGTTTTGAATAGACAAATGATGTAATTTGCTTTATGTTTTAAAGTCTTGGTGTCCTGCTGTTGAGGATGAGGATGTGGGTGGCACAGGCAAAGACTGACTGAAAGTTTGGATGCTGGTTAAAAGAAAACGTTGATGTTAACTCTTAGGGCTCTGAAGTGTTCTCCTGGGCGGGTAGGTGCAGCGCTGACTGGGGTGCCGGTAGGTGCTGAGGACAGCAGGGTTGAAGGGTCGTGTCAGGAATTCGGCGGGCGTGGAGCAAACTTGAGCTTCCTGCTTGCTGCTTCTACTCCGTCTCAAGTAGGCAGTTTCGAGCATGGGGGCCCGAGAAGAAGGCAGGACCGGAGATAGAGATTTGGGCGTTCCCAAGGGGGCAGAGCACGTGAAGAAGAGACCTCTAAGAAGATGCAGGCCGGCCCCGTGGGGGAAGTCGGTGCAGAGGGAATCGGCAGCACAAAACAAGACACGTACCCAGTGAGGTGTGGAGAAGAACTGAGGGTGACATCCCGAAAGCCAAAGGAACGTTTCAGAAACACAGAATGTGGCCATTGTACCGACTGCTGACCCGGCGCAGTGTGAAGGCGGATGGCTGGCCGGCCGGCGTTTTGCCAAGCTTTAGCTGGTGGTTGCAGTGCTCCTAAATGTGTATCTGCCCGTCTGCGGGGAAAGTGCGGCCTGTGCCTGCATGTAACAAGCTAGACAAGCACTGGCGGGTGCCCTCCCGCAGCGCGCATCCGCAGCTGGTCCCTCTCGTACTCACGCCCCTCGGTCTGGCCTTCCCTGCCTAGAATGGTTCAGGGGCCATGGCTTCCTTACTCTCTTCTCTTCATCTGCCTAGAACAACTTTCCTTCTTTGCACAGCTAAACATGAACCGAACAATCTAGCTCAGTGAGTCCGGGAGCTTTTCCAGGCCAAGCCAGTCAGCAGAGTTCTCCATCAGCAGGTCATATATCGCTGCCGCACTGACGTTGACCATTTTCCTAGTCTTACCTTATCGAGAGTGTAAGCTTTTGGGATCAGGAGGCTGTGCTTAGCTTTCTCTCCCTGTTACCCATCTATACCAGTGTCATCCCCTTGGTGGAAAGAGAACAGGAAAATAAAGGGGTAAACATGAGCTCGAGAATGTCTGGCTCATTGAGTGGACAGCAGTGAGGATGGATGGTACTTAGGAAATTCCAGACTAAATGAGAAGGAAGACTAGAAAGAAATAGCCAGCTAGGCACGTCGGCTCACACTAGCTAGTAGGGAGGCCGCAATGGGGGGACCCAATGAGATCCCATCTCAAAAAAATTTTTTAATTAAAAGATGGCACATATGGCACACACCAGTAATCCCAGCCTCCTGAGAGCTGCGATGTAGCTCAGTGCAGTGCCCTGTGTTTAGTCCCCAACATCACAAAAAAGGAAAGACAAAAATAAAATAACAGTATGGTGCCAGGGGTTGGGGCACACACCTGTAATCCTAGTTCTGAGGAGGCTGAAGCAAAAGGATCTCTGCAAATTTGATGGCAGCTGGGGTTACATAGTGAGACCCCGCCTCAAAAGTGGATTAAAAAAAATCTTTAGGGTATTAAAAGATTTTATTGCCTGTGTCAATATCACAGGAAAAGTCTAGAAAAATAATTCTGTGAAATTATAAAAGTATTATTTTGTAATTAAGAGTTCTCATAGTTGGGCAGGGGAGCTAGCTCAGCAACATAGGCACCTACCTGGCAAGCACAAGGTCCAGAGTTCAATCCCTGGTACCAAACCAAAAAAACAGAAAATAGATATAAATTTTGGAGGCAGAGAGATAGCTTAGCAGACTAAGTGCCTGCTTAGGCAAGCATAGGGGCCAGGGTTTGTTCCCTGTGCGGTGCCAGCCCCAGCCCTGGGCACACTGAGCCCCCACCCCTGGGCATGCTGAGCCAGCCACCAAGACAGGGCATGGTGGCACTGGCACACGCCTATAATCCCAGCGCTGGGGAGACTGAAAACAGGAGGATCACTACAAGTTTGAGCTGCGTAGTGAGATCTTGTACCAAAAACATTTTAAAAAGTTCTAATAGTTGCATTAGAATATATGGGGTTGGGGGCGGGGAGATGGCTCAGTAGAATAAGCGCTTCCCTGGCAAGTGCAAGGGCTTGAGTTCAATCCCCGTTCCACCAAAAAAAAAAAAAAAGAAAGAAATGTTTTGAGAGAATGTGCACTACTCCAATACTAATTTATAGATCATCATAGAAAAAAAAAAAAAAAGAGTATATGGGGTAGTCTATATTATATACATTTATAGTGTTATAGTGTGATCTTTTTTATGATTTTATGTTAATTTTTTAGAATATCAATGCAAGCTTGAAAAAGATACTTTCTTTCTCCTGCGCCATGGCATATCAGTTATACAGAAATACTACTTTGGGAAACAGTCTTCAGGAAAGCCTGGATGAGCTTATACAGGTGAGAGCTGGAAGCCACACGTGGACGCTCAGGGGTGTCAGTGGGTTCGCGTCCCTTCACCCACTCAGAGAGATGAAACTTGGGGCTTCTGGCCCAGCAGCTCGGTGGTACCCACAGACAAATCAGTGCAGTGACTCTGCTGGGCTGACAGAAACCAAAGACGATGGTTGCATTATGCAGTGCAGTAAATGGAAATCCAAAGGCTTTGCTGAAACTAGAACTGACTATTGGTCCCTTACGTTTAGAAGAAGAGCATGTTCTGTGTAGCTTTAAAAATAACTGCCCAGGGGCTGGTGAGATGGCTCAGTGGTCTAAAGCACCTACTTACAATAAGCTTAGCACAGGGACCACGGTTCAATCCCCCAGCACCACATGCCAGCCAGCCCCGCCCCCTGGTGGGCTGAGCTGGCCACATACACAAAAAATAAATAAATAAAATAAATTAATTAAAAAAAAAAAAAAAAAACTTGCCCAGGCTGGGCATGGTGGTGCGCACCTAGAATGCAGGCGCTAGGGGACAGGCGGGAGGCACACGCTCAGGCCCACCTGGACAACTGATGGCTCAGCAAGGCCCCTCCTCAACATGAAAAGGAAGAGTGGCCAAGATGCTTCTGTTTGTTTTGATGTTATTACTTGGAATTAAGATTTAATCTTTTTTCATAGACCTATGTTTTTATTTAGAAAAAGCTTGGTTTCCCCTATTTTATTAAACATCTCTTTTCAAACACTGGGGAAAAAGACAAAAGTTGTTTTGATTTTAAAATCACTACAAATTTACATTCTAACTAATTTTGTGTGTGTGAAGATAGTTTAAAAGGTATTTTCAGACTTTGCTTGTCAGTTATGGGGATCGGGGAGAAAGGCCTCGAGTTTAAAGGCTCTGGTTACTTTCAGTTAAAATTTAAGTAGTAGTATGTCCATTTTGTATCTGTGTATTCAAAGTGATTAGGATAGATATATAGTTGCATTCTCTTAATGAATAGAATGATTTGTTCTAATGGTGTTTGTAAATAGGATCACAAGTCCACATCTTGTACAG